GCTGTATAATAAATTGCCAGATTTTCATCTTAAACTGAAAGCTTCTGCATTCTGATCAATGCGTCTACAGCTTTCCAAATCCTCAGCCATTTTGGACTACCATTTCACTTTCTCTTTCTGTTTATAAGAGACAGTGGGCACACACACACACACACACACACACACACACACACACACACACTGCTACTTGTCAGTTATATCTTAATAGAGTTAGAAACTAAAGAATATTGTTAGCTAGCTTTCCTAATATTCTAGCAAATTTACTCACCAGTAGCTTGATTTATTGCTTTCCTAGAGTAACCAGAATCTTTTTAGTTGCTTTTTCAAAATATTTGCCTTATTTTTAAGGATAGGATTAAGTTTAACTGTTTCTAAACTGTACCTAAATTCTTTTATTTAGATAGTTGGAAATATTTCATTTTTTTAGTCTAGTTAATTTACATAAACACATATACAGATGAAAAATTTATAGGTTTGAAAAAAAGATTAACCTTAAGGATAAATTTTAACATTTATATATTTTCCTCAATTGAAATAAATTTAGATATTTTCTGAAATGAAAATGGTTATTTGTATTTAATCATACACTGGTATTATGATATCAAAGCTGTGAAGCTTTTATTTTTGTTTTCTATAACTGCTAGAACTTCCAGTTAACTAATCAAAGAAGTAAAAAATATGATTGGGCATCATATACTAAACTTGTCTGTCTCTTTAAAGTGAAACAATGATTTTACTACAAACTATCTAGGAAATATCGATTCTCATGTGAAAATGACTTAATATAGCAATCTCTTCTTTCAGGAAAGATACCAGAAGATCAGCATCTTCCACAGTGGCCACCACTTCCATCTGTAGCCACCACAGTCACAGCCACAGTCACAGCCCAGGACTCCATTGTTATGCCCAGCCCACCACAGCAATTATTATAGAAGCTCAGAGTATCAGGAAGAGAGAGCTTAGTTTTATAGCTGGGTCAAAGTCTCCAGTTTTAAGTTCAGAATCGTCACCAGGCTTTATTCTTCAAGTGAGTGGTATGTAGGGCAAACCAGAAACACTGTCAAATTCACAGCCAGAAATAATTGGCACTGAAGCTTTCTAAAATATTTCTTGCAACCAGTATATCCAAGACAGCTTTGTTATGTGGTAGGATGCATGAATTGATCATCTGATGTGTCTTTAATGAGAGACTCTTCTCTTATTTTAGTGGCTTGTTTGTTCCAGATGCTAAATTTAAATAACCATCAGCTTCCAGTTGATCATATAGTCTAGGACTATACCTTCCACTAAATTTCTGGTTTTACTTAGTAATAGATTTCTTTTTTTCCACTAATTTTCAGTCCTGGTAACAAAAATCCTTGTTCAATAAAATAGAAAAGACTTGAATGTGGGAAAGGACATTATAAAGGAAAACTAGAGAGGAGAGAGAGAAAGAGAGAAGAGAGAGGATGAGAGGGATACAGTAGTCAGAATGTGCTTTATATACATGTAAAACTGTCAAATAACAAATTCGATAAAAGTTATTAAACAGAGTAGGGAACAACTTAAATGCTAAAGTGAGACCATGGTGACAGCAATCATTTATAAAATATTGAACCGCAAGGTGTTTCATCTTTTCCGTTTGTAGAGAAGGATCATTCACTGTAATTTATACTGCACGTATACATATATTTCTCACTTTATAAATTATCTATATCCACAGTGAAGACACTGATGCTTATATTACTGCTCCTGGATGTATAGAAAGGCCTTGAAAATGATCTGAGATTGAAATGATCCAAAGAACTTCTTAAAGATTTGCTGGCATCATGTAGTGCTAATACAGAACATTGGAAAAATTTATCATCACTTCTGACATTCTTGAACAAAGGACTAGTTTCAGACTAGTTATGAGAAAAGGTGATATAAATCCAAACTTAGGGATACTCTGTAAAATTATCTGACATTTCCACAATCAGTAAATGACATGAAAATCATGGAAATAGTGGTGTCCTGTGATATGTGACCACCAGAAAGTAGCTAGAGAGATGGTGCAGTCAACCCAATCACTCTGTGTTGGCTAGTAGCTTTCACATGGACATGCCACCATTTGAACCTGCACACACTCATGAAAACATATACACACATATGGACATGTGCACAGACACTCAAAAACAAAACTAGTAAAATGTGGCAGCCAAATGCATTGCAAATTTGATACTAGAACAGAAATTATTAAGTACTAATTTTTAAAAAATGCAGAAAGAAGGCCTTGAATCCAAATGTTAAAAACTACAATTTCTTTGTTTGATGAATGCACTGTCATTATGAACATTAGGGGATGTTCAGTGTCATAAATTGCATGTTTATATTATGCATAAGATTGGAAATAAAAGGCAAAATTAATCGTCTAAACATTTTAGGGAAGACTAGAGACTGTCAGGGGATGAACTTCTGGTATGACATTCTCAAAGTTGGGAGAAAGTAAAAAGAGAAAAAACTAAAGGCTCTTTGGAGGGTGCTGAGTTGGAATTAAATGAAACGTGCCTATTAGAATCAAACCAGCGAAGGAGAGACCTTCTGGAATTAACTGTTGTTCTGAGTCTAAGGATAATGAAGGTGAAGAGGACTTGCTCTCTGGCTTTAGGAAGATTGAAGTTTTGATGATTTCTCTAAGAGATAAGGGTTTCTGCAGAGTAAGGACCAACCAAACATATAAACTCAAAGGTACAGCACTATAAGGATACCACCATGAAAACAGACTCAGAATATTCTGAGAGGAGGCAGATCTAGGCAATGATAATTGATCATAGGAGATACAGCTTCTTTGCTTTTGATGTTGGAGGTACAAGAAAATGGGGCACATTCATAAAACCACACCAAAAAGTTTAAGAAAGAATGTTTAAGAAAGAATAACTTCACATATAGTGAAGTCATTTATCACTGTGCATTTATCATTTCTGTGATTAAAAGGAAAATTTCCTCTTGGAAAGACTAATTCCTAGAATTAAATTCTTAAGAGACTATCCTAATAAATTTTGTTAACAAGGTCATTGAACAATAACAAAACAATCCATCAATATCCCTGTTAATGAAATACATAAAGTTCACAGGTTAATTTTAGTTGCTTTTTAATTATGTTTTGTAATTCAATTTGTATCAAACTTAGGTAATAGTCTAAGAATGTAAACAGCCCAAAGAAAGAAAAACTTACAAGTTAGTTCTACTTGTATTCCCTAAAACCTGGTTACTATTTGATTGTATTCTATAAGTTGCATAGTTGAGGTTTTCTATATAAGAAATTTGACTTTGAAAAAGTGAAGAAGTTTTCTTTTTAAAATACCTCAATCATCAGCAAGTGAATAAGATATCACAAAAATTTATCAATGCTACAAATGCACCTACCAAGAAATATGCATAAAAAATCATTCAAAGCATGGGATGGATGAATGAACAGATGAATATATTGATCATTAACATGAAAACATTTTTCTGTTCCATTCTTTTGACTCATTTTTAATGTATGCTAGGTGAGACAAATTAGAAAGTTTAAAAATCCATGACCACATTCTGATTATCATCAAGATCATTGATTAAAACAGAGAGCACAACTAATGATTGAATCCTCTTAACTGTGATGTAAACTGTCTTTTAATGCCAATCTCTGAACCATACCCAAAGGTAACTGAAGGGGCACATTAAAATATCATGGGATATTAGAAATATGGCTGGAATATCAGAAGTGAATGTGATTGGTTGTACGATGCTGCAATCCCACATAAGTTTAATAAGGATATTTGAGTAATAGGTAAATAATAATTGCTAGTGTAAAATGAACAATTTGAAAGAAATACAGAAATTGTACATTAGCACATAATTTTCGACTTAGTCTTCAGTAGAAGTTGAATACTTAGAGAAAACTAGAAAGCATTTAATTCAGACCTGAGTCGATTGGTTTTTAATTAGTTGGATTATTTTTAACGTTGTGGGTAGGAAAGAGGGATCTGGATTCAGTATAGCAAAGCAGTATAGTTCTGGGAGAAGAAAATTAGTATTAAGAGAGACGAGAAGTCATCATTCAAGGAAGTGTCACTCTGGTGAATATTTAAAAACAGAGAAAATCTTGGGGATAATATCAAAGACACTGCCATAAAAAATTATGCTTTTGTTATGTAAATGATTAGTATCAGAGGTTAAAAACAAAGTCAAGTTTAAGGCTGGTTTGGATGGTTGCGTGTGTACCTTTCCTCACTGAAACCTTGGTTGGATGAGGGGAAGAGTCAAAATGCAGAGTTTTCCATATTCCTTTAGAACTCAACCACCACCCTCTTGATCCTTTCTAGCCTCAAGTTCTCCACAATATTCCTCAGTGAACATTGGGGAAGAGAGGCCTCTGTCTTCTGGGCATGGCATGCCCTCTCCGCTCAGCAGCTATGGTTGTCTACATATGGCTAGCAGAAAACTGGCCTATCAACCCTCAGTCATGGATAGGGGAGGACTCAGGGGGCCAATCTCTTTCCGGAGAGCTATTTGTAGGAAACGGCTACTGAAAGACAGGGAGTCATTGTTTTCAGTGGAATTACCAGTACTCCAGTGAATAGTTCTGAACCCATGGCCAGTGGTAGCCTTGGTTAAACTTGGTCACAAAAGAAAGAGAAAACTGAAAGAAAAAGATATGGTAATGGGGAGGGTAATTGAGGAGCAGGGTCTTAGGAAAGGATAGTGTGGCGAAAAGGACCAGAATATCTCATCTACATGTATGAATTTTTCAAATAATTGATCTTTAAAAATGAAAAAAATGTATGAATAAAAACAAACTCAGAGGTCAAAGACACCTCTTTAAAAATCCTGAAGCATTATCATGGCTGTAAAACAACAAAATAATTAGAGTGCTCATAAAACTAGCCAATGGCATGAGCACATTGGGCCCCTCCCACACTGAGAACGTATAAAAGGCCCTCCACAGGGAGAACTCTCTAGACTCAAGTCATCTACATTCCTTCTCTACCTGAGAACAACCTCAACAACCAACACCATGTGTGGCTACTATGGAAACTACTATGGCGGCCGGGGCTATGGCTGCTGTGGCTATGGAGGCCTGGGCTATGGCTACGGAGGACTTGGCTACGGATATGGCTGTGGCTATGGATGTGGCTACCGCAGACTGGGCTGTGGCTATGGCTCTGGTTATGGCTATGGCTCTCGCTCTTTCTGTGGTTGTGGTTATGGATGTGGCTCTGGCTATGGATCTGGATTTGGCTACTACTATTGATGGCACCATGGAATATTCTCATCCTCTCCAATTACTGTCTTTGCATTCCCAAATTCTGAACCCCACGTTTTGAACCTCCTGCTTAGAGGGTGAAGATCTTATATATCAAGTTTATGATGTGACGTTGCTGATAAAGTCCTCCCATAGCCTTTGAATCTGAGGTGTAACAGTTTTACTTACCTGGATTTGGTGCTTGAATATGAAGATTGTTCAGTACTCATCTTTGGATCTTCTGTGTGTCTCTCATTGTCCTGTTGTTGCCACAGATATTGTGATGTGATTTTCCTCTTTTTACCTATTAAACATTTTCATCCCATGAACCATTCTGACTTTATTTTTCCATTTTTATTATATTTATTTATTAATTTAGTGTGTGTGTGTGTGTATACTATAGTTCATATAAGGAGGTCTGATGAAAGTCTGTGTGAGTTGGTTCTTTCCTTCCATCATATATGTTCAGGTCATCAGATTTAGCGGCGAGCACCTAACCAGCTGAGCTATCTTGCTGGGCCTATTATTTTGCTTGCTTTTTCCACGTTTATATTTAGGCACACGATTGCTTTCCTTAGTATATACCTGCTTTAATGTTTCTATTTCAGTTGTGCCACAAAATCTTTGATTCTTGACATTAAGAACATAGTGATTTTTGAAATGGGAAGTCTCGTAGTCTACTTAAGGTGTGATGATATGTTATTAAATTATTGTTAATACAAAGAAGGCAATGCTTATCAGAATCCACCGATATCCCATACTTTAGCAGGGGAGGTGGGTAGAGCTATGTGGGCCTCTCCTGAATTTATGATTGACTGTTGACAGGCACATTCTTGGGCAAGGCCCTTGTAGCCAGCCTGTGGTTATTTTTTAATAATTGCAGTGGCTATATCATGAGCCAAAGACAACTTTTCAAAGAAAATACATAAAACATATAATAATAATCTTGGGTGATTGAAGATCCATAATCACTGGACCCAAAGAGTACCTGAAAAATATCCATGATTCTTGATAAGAATTTCTAAGACTTACACCTGTCTTAGTAGTACCTAATAATAGTGAGAATGCTTGACAGCTCTCATTCCATGAATTTTATGTTAAATATTCAAATTAATGTCCCCAAATAAACATATACTTTTATTCACTTTGATTTACTTACTTCTTTCTGGTATTTAAATTATGAATATCTGAAATTGAAATAGAAATAAACTTGAATCTTTTGTTATTCACTTTATGTCTTATCTGTGTCTTTTAGTTCCTACACCCTAACATTAGTATATTTACTTTTGCTAGAAATATGAATGAAATTCTTCTCTAATTACTGTATTAAAACCTAAAACATGGATTATCTTAACACCTTTCAAGTTTTGACAAATTGAATATCTTTGGAATTGAAATGCACAAACCAAATAAAAATTAAATGGAATAATACAACCTAGATTGAAGGCTTTTATGAAATATAAATTTATTAAAATGTACAGAACTGCTAATAAATTCTGGTATATCTTACAATTCTACACATGGTTTGTTTTTTGACTTGACATATGAAAGAATTATTTTCCATCAAATTTGGTTAGTGTTATTTGCATAAGTTACATGCTAATGCTGCAGAAATCGACTATATTTATAATATAAATAATACTATAGAAGTAGCATTTCTTTTTTAGAATCCTTTAAAAATATTTTTTCTTTATTATTTTTATTTTATGTGTATGAGTGTTTTTCCTGCATGTGTGTAAATGCACCTGTGTCATGTAATGCCCATGGAGGTCAGAAGAAGGTGTCGGATCCCCTGAAACTGGAGTTACAGATAGTTGTTAGCTGCCATGTGAGAGCTGGAAATCAAATCTGGGTCCTCTGTAAGAGCATTCAGTGATCTTAACCACTGAGACATCTCTCCAGCACCTGTAATATTTCTTATTTATTCACTAGAGAATTATTATAATGCTAGCCAGATCTTTAACATATATTCTTAATCCACTTGGGAGCACTTCCATTTAGGAACCTCAGAATAATTGTTTGATGTCTTAAAGTTATCCCCATATTCAGTAAGGATAAATGAAATAAACTATTGACAG